GTGCTCGACATTGCGAGGCGCAAAGAGCCGGTCCCCGCCTCCGAGCTGCTGCGGCGCACAGTGATTGTCATCGGCGCGGACAACGTCACCTCGCGAGACAAGCACAACTTGGGCGCGCGCGGCACCGTGGTGAACTGGCTCAACACGGTCGCCGCCGCCTCGTGGCTCACGAACGTGCACGACCGCGACATCGCTGAGCACTTTGCCGGCGACCTCTACCTCAACGACAAGGTGCTCTTCGCAAACGGCTGGAGCGACAAGCCTGGGCTGCGGCTCGGCGATGAGGGCCGCGTGGCCAACGCACGAGACATGGCGTGCACCCTCTCGCTGCTCGCGTCGTGCGCCCACTGCCACGCCGAGACGGGCGGGGGCGGCGAGGGTGGGGGCGGCGACGGTGGTGACAGCGGCGGCGGCGGCGAGGGCGGTGAGGCCGACGGCGGCGGCGAGGGCGGTGGCGGCGGGGGCGGGGGCGGAGACGGCGGCGGCAGCGAGGGCGGCGGCGAGGGCGGCGAAGACGGGGTGGCGGCGGCGACGGGCGTCGCCGCCGCGATCGACGGGCGCTTTGGATTCACGCTGCTCAACATCGGCCTATCCAACGACGGCATCGTCCACCCGTCGAAAATCCCTTCCGCCCTCGACATCGACGCGGCACAGGCGATTGCGCTCCGCAACCCCCGCGTCAGCCAGCAGCTGCGCGAGACCGGCCGCGTCACCTTCGAGCTCACCTACCTCATCCAGGAGCATGGCCAGGTCGCCTCGGTCATCTGCTCGTGCTCGACGCATGCCTCCTCCGCCGGCGCCTTCGAGGCTGAGGGTTGCGCGCTCTTCGCTGCTGCCCGCGACCTGTCCGCTCCCCCACCCCTATCCCGCCGCACACCTCCCCCTCCACTCCTCCCTCACCCACCTCTCCGGAGTAGGGCGCTGTTCCAGGGCGAGGCCCCGCCAGACCTCATCCAGCTGAAGGCACGCGGGAGCGGAGGGGGAGCCGCGGCGCGGCAGAGGCGCTTGACTGCCGGCTATGCCCGTTAGGTTCTGCTGGACGGCGTGGAACCGGACGGCCTCTCCCGCGCATTCAAGGATTTTCACAAGACCGGGCGGCAGCATTCGATCTCTTACTTTAAAGAGTTTGAGATGTCGGGGCAGGTGTACGAGCGTTTGGGCCCCAAAGTAGGGGCTGAGATCTGCCTGAGATTCCCCCCCCCCCTCGCCTCCAGGCAGCGAGGGCGCCTGTCTTCGCAAGCGCCATCGCGCGACAGGCGCCGCTCGCGCGCGACGTGAGGTGCCCCGCGTGCGGCCACCTGTGGACGCCGGATGAGGCCGTGCGGGTGCTTGGCCCGGAGCACAGGGCGGCGACCGTCGAACTGCGGATGTGGCGTTGCAACCCCGACGCGCTGTGCAGCCGCCCCTCGCAGCGCCGCCTGGGGATCCGAAGCGCGCCGGCGGACGCGGTTTGCCCGACGTGCGGGCAGACGTTTCACGGCACCTCAGCTGAGCGCAGCCTGGCCCGGCACCAGGGCGAGGTCGCAGGCATACCCCGGAGCGCGAAGTGCATCGCCTTTGAACGAGACGCCGCGGCGGCTCAGGCAGTGCGAGATGCGGAGCGACGGGGTTGAGACAAGAGAGATGCTCTGCTCTGTGCGCGTGTGATCCCCGTGTCCGTGTGTGCATGTATCTCGGTGCATCTCGGTGCACGACGGGGCTTTGCGCTTTCTCATCGACTCTCATCCACGCGGCGGCACACACGTTTGACTAGTTGCAAAAAGTCTCACGTGGAAAACCACAAAAACTGCGAAAACGCTGTCACGGCCAGCTCGGCACTATATCTACTCAAAAAAAGTCACACATTTTGACCTCGGAGAGCCGCGCAGCGGGCCGCGGGTTGGGGGCTGACCTCAAAATGTGCAGCAGGATTGCGTCGAGCTCGAACTCGAGCAGGCCACCCTGTGCCGAGCCGCTCGGCCGATCCCACTGCAGCCGATCAAGGCCTGCAGGGCGAGTCCACTGGTGGCGTGAGATTTGCGCCGATTAGGAGCTCGTACACGACGACTCGGCGCTCGACGGGCATAGCACGGAAGTTCCACGGAAAAATAACGCACGAGCCCTCAGCGGAGCTGGCAATAGGAGCGCACCACACACCTCTCCTTAAAATCCCTGTGTGGTGGCGGCGTGCCGTCCTCCCCCATCCCTCTCTTGGGTTGTCTGTTTTCTTTCTTTCTTTTTTTAGGACCGCCGCCAGCGGCGTGGCGTGGAGCGGTTGTGAGCATCCCTCCGGGGGCCCCTCTGCGCCGGGGAGGCGTTGTTGGAGGCTAGGACGCAAGCGTCCGTCGCCCTTTTCAAACTCGGGGGGCCCACTCCGCTACGCTCCGACCCGAATTTGGAGGGCCTAAAAGTTTAAGGTGTTGCTGCGCAAAAGGGGTCGGACACAGGGCGCAGCTCATGCTAAGTAAGAGCTAGAAGGGGAGCTAGAGATAACGACTACCCTGTCCCGTTATTGCGTACACCAACACCACAAAAGCAACAAAAACAACTCTCTCTCTCCTGTCCTCAGACAGACCGCTCCGGGGGTCCACAACTACCGTGTCCCTCGACTAGCTGCCGGAGCGCGGGGGGAAAGCGCTTTGGCGTCGAGCCGAGCGGCTTGAACGCGCGCAGCTCCGCGATCATCCGCCGCTTCGACTCCATCTCCCGCTCGTGCGTCAGCTGCTGCTGCGCGCGCCGCTTCGCCCAACCAGAGTAGTTTCCGCGGCTCTGCGTCAGCTGGCGCGCCGCCCCGCTCACGTGCAGCGTGTCGGTCGCAACCTCGTCGGGCGAGGTGAGCCGAGGTGAGCCGAGGTGAGCCGAGGTGAGCCGAGGTGAGCCGAGGTGAGCCGAGGTGAGCCGAGGTGAGCCGAGGTGAGCCGAGGTGAGCCGAGGTGAGCCAGGGGCCGAGGTGGGCCGAGAGAAGAAGTGCGGGACTTGGTTGCGAGAGGTTGTGCGGGGTGGCCGCCTCGTCGAGGAAGACGCGGTCGTGCGAGACGACGACCGCCATCCGCTGCTGCCACGTCGGCGAAGTGGAGAGCTCCCTCGCGAGCCACAGCACCGCGCCTGCTCACAGGGGAGGAAAGGGGGGGGGGGGGAGGGGAAGCTCACAGGGGGGGGCGCCGCCTCTCCTCGCCCTTTGGCTACGAGCTGCCCGGGACCTGCGCCACAGCCATCGGACGGCACGCCGTGACTTGCCCGCTGCTGCCGGGGACGCGGATCGATATCCCTATGCCGTTTCATTAAGGCGGGCTCGGGGTTCTTTTTGCGGGCACCTCTCGTCGAATGTCGAAGGCTGCCACGCCGACGCCGCCACCGTCCCCGTGAAGACCGCGGCGACCGGCTGAGCGGTGCAGCCGGCCGGCAGACGTGTCGGCCCTGCCTGTCGCGAAGGTGCGGACCTGAGACATTGTTCAACCCGTGTGCGCAAACCTCGATGGGACACGACTACCCGCGGCACGGAGAGGCGAAGCAGGTTTCTCGCCGCGCGCTTATACACTTGCGCCGACCCATTTTCTCTACCCGCCTTGCCGCCAGCGCAACCGCTGCCGCGTCAACCTCCCGACACTCCCCACCCAAACCGCACTCCTCAGATGAAGATCATTGCCGGCGAGCCCCGCAGCCCTATCTTTGGCTGCATGCTCGACGCGATCGTCCACAACGTGAAGCAGCGCGTGCGGCCCAAGTCCTCCTTTGGAGAGCTCGCAGTCTCTGGGCCAGCCCTCCTGCAGGCCCCGAGAGCCAGTCAATAGATTCCCGCTGCACCCCTGCCCCGCACCCTGCCGCGTAGCCAAGCGGTACCTCACCTCCTCGTGGCCATGCGCTGGTTAGGCATGCTTCGCGGCGGACCCGGCCGTTTCGCGCGCCACCGCGGTCACCTACTGGGACACGCGCATGGCTGCCTGGCCCTTCACGGGTGAGGCACTTCACTTACTAGTCGTCGTTTGCCGTGCCCCGTCCCACACCCTCAGCGAGGACGCGGTCGAAAGTGGCGCTCACACGGCGACCTTGCCATCAGGCATGCGCACCAACTCGACGGTCCTTGCCTACGAGGCGCCGGTCGACGGCCAAAAGCACTTTTGGGGCATCGACACAAAGTCGGAGACCTATGCCGACGCCTTCAAGGCCGGCCACGTCTACTCGGAGGAGTGCGCCCTCTAACGAGTGTGACTCACTCTGGGACGGGCTCAGGGCCGGGCGCACGACAGGGGGGGGGCATTATATTTGCGGAGAGGGAGGGTGCACGAGGGCTGGCGTGGCTTGAGAAGTGTTAAAGCCGTATAGCGTATATGAGAGTACGTTATATACTCCATCTCCAACGGTAGGTGTGAGTCAGATGAGACGCCAGACTTCCATGTGGACGATCAGTGCCTCACTCTGTGGTACCGTGATCCGTGCATGGATCCGTGTCAGAGAGTGGAGAGGACCGCACAGCATCGAGCATGCCGTTCTGCGTGCAAAGAAAATCCCACAGCGTGTAAATGTGACAGATAGAGGTAAGACCTAAGAGGATATAAGAGAGGCGAAACACAGTCAGAGTATACACACGAGACACGTCACGCCCACACGCCGCGGCCCGCGCAGAACCGGCGCCTCCGGGGGACACACGACCTGCCCGAGACATAACAGGTCAACATACAGTACGGCGCGGAGCCGCGGTGGGCTCAAGCGAGAGTGCTCCAGAGCCTCCGAGATCTCATGCACTCAACACCGTGACCGCTGCAGCTCCGAGCTCGTCGTCGATTTGACTCAGCATGGCCTTGACTGCGGCGTTGAAGCCCTCTGGCCCACTCACCACGACGCGATGCGGCTTCTGCATCTGCGACAGCTCCGCCCGCACGAGCTCCGGGCTGAGACGCGCATTCACGCAGACCGCGCTGTCCACCGTTGCAAAGGCCGACGCGACGTCCACGTCCGCCACGTCTGGGAAGGGAGCCGCCGCCGCCGCGTGCGCCGGCGTGACCAGCACCGTGCAGCGCGCCAGCGAGCCATCCTTGCACCAGCCGGCGAGCTCCGGCACGAGAAGCGCGTCGTCGGAGCGGCACGAGTACATCACGTGCACTGGCGTATTGGTGATGGGAGGGCGGGGTCCGAAGCAGCTCCCCGCCCTCGCATGGTGCAGCACCTGCGGCACCGCCACCACGCCCGTCCCAGCCACGAGCAGCAGCACGCTCGCGTGCTTGCGGTTGATGTACTGCTGGTCGAGGGACAGGCTCGGCACGTGGAGCGTCTTCATCGGCCGCGACAGCCACACCACGGCGCCGGCTCCGCCCCCCGCTGCCGCGGCGGTGCCGGCCGCCGCCCCCGCCCCCGCCGCGGGCGGCGGTGCGGAGACGGAGTGGAGCCAGCGGGTGGCGAGGCCGGGCGGGTCGAGGTAAACCTTGATGAGGATGTCGCAGCGGCCTTGCTCCCACTCGTGCGCCGTCGAGACGGGCGTGTAGTCCCGCTCCACCCACGGCAGAGGCCCCTCGTTGTTGGCCGCCTCGCCAACCTCGGCGAGCAAAGTCGTGTGCCACGTCTTCGACCAGACGGTCCGGCCGCCGCGCCCCTTTCGGATCGGACTGCCGCGCTCGCCGTCGTCGGAAGTGAAGTGGTACACGGCCGAGTGCTTGGAGACGGGCGTGACGGCTCGCAAGCTCCACCGCGCGTAGCCCTGCACGCGGTCCTGCGCGCACGAGATCACGCGAGATGAATCGAGATCACACGAGATGAGCCGAGATGGTCCGCAGCAAACGGTCCTGCACGCAGCCGGCCTCGCCCCCCCGCGCGGCGCGTGCGTCCCCCGCAGCGTCCGAAAGCAGCTCCTCCACCTGCGCCTGGAGGCTCTCCTCGCGCCGCCCCCGCGGCTGCAGCGCGCAGACCGCCCCTCGGAGCCGCTCGATGTCGGCGGCGCGCCCCATGCCCGCAAGGACGCGCGCCTGGCCGCAGCAGCGATCTCGGGCGATCTCGGGCGATCTCGGGCGATCTCGGGCGATCTCGGCAGGTCCCTCGCCTGCTCGACCAGCAGCCGCAGCGAGGGGATGTGCTCGAGGCTGAGCTCTGCAGCTGGGCCCGCGGCTGCGGACAGCGCCTCGAGAGCCTGGTCGCCAAGCCCGTCCCTCTCATTGTGGCGATTTCATTCTGATCAAGTACCACCACTCTTCCTCGAGCGCCTTGTCGCCGAAGCCGGCCGCCGCGAGCAGCTCGGCATACTCCTGCACCAGCTCCTGCAGGCTGTCGGCGCTCTCCTCGGTCGGCTCCGCCTGCGCCTCTGCGTGAGCGCGCGCCACGTCCTCGCGCATGCCGCACAGGGCGAGGTTCCACTTGCTCTCCTCCCGCGCCTCAGTCCGCACCCGCAGCCGCCTCGCCCGCGCGAGCCGCGCAACCATGTCTGCGTCGCCGAGGCTCGGCACGCGCCCGCTCGCGCGCTGGACGACCTCCGCGCTCGCGGCGAGGTCGCACCGGCGCGCAAAGATCTGCTCGGCCTGGTCGTCGACCACGAGGACGTTGGGCGCGTTGGAGCAGTTCCCAAGGCAGCCGGAGGGCCGCACCGCCACGCCTCCGACACTCCGCGACAGCTCCTCGATCTCGAGGAGCACCGCCTCGCCGCCCGCCCGCCGGCACGGTCCCGCCTGGCAGACGAAGACTCGCGCCGAGCGCTCCAACTCCTCGATGCCGTCGTCCGCGCGGATGACGCCTTCGCTGTCCTTTGGCGCGTAGATGAGCGGGCCGTTCTGAAGCTCGACCTGGTAGGGCGCCGTCTGGCCAGGAGGCCAGCCGTCCTCACGGTAGTGGAGCGCGACGATCGTGCCTCGCTTCCACTGCGTCGCGGATGTCTTGCAGCGCACGCGATCGCCGACCGCGAAGCGAAGGCTCATGCCCAGCGAGGCTCTGCACACGTCCAGCACGGCGGCTGAGAAAAAAAGTGGAGTACATTGCTACCGTTACGGAAAGCATGCGCGACGCTGCCTCTTTGCACCGCTCGCTCGCGGCTGCGGGAGACATGGCCGCCGATGCGGCTCGCACTCGCTCGGCGGGCCTCCGTCCCACAGCCGCCCGGGCGTGCCACGGGTCTGCCTGGCGCTGCGCTGCTCGCACGCTGCACTGCACAAAGCTGCGACAACAAGGGGAGGCTCCTGAGCTTGAGCGTTGAGCAGTGCAGCTGCGGGCGCTCGTGGGCGGCTGTGCAGTGGTGAGAGTGCCTGATTGGAGGCGAGCTGGTGCTGCGCCAGGGTGCGCAGCATGCGCTCTTGCTCTGTGCTGAGGCATGCTGGCTGGCGCCCAACACAATGCCCTGGATGCATTGCTCCACGCCGTGCTGGCTGGTGCAGTACTGCCAGTGCGCCGACTGGCGCGCAGGGTGCGCGTCGCCGCGCGTGGCACGGGTGGCTCGAGAGGCGCGGCTGTCGTTCAACCCCGCGGCGCATGTGCGCCGCGGAAGCTGCTCGACAGGCTGCGGGCATCGCTGCGGCAGAAAGCGCCCGCCCTCTGCTTTGCTTTCGCCCGCGTTTTACGACAACTTTCGGTTTATCATAGCCGCCGAACTTTACCTCGCTGTTTCTTTATAGGCGTCTCGCAGCTGCGTATTCTCGTATTATCTTCGAGTAGTTGCGTGGGGGCGGTATGTATTCTCGTATCAGTAGTTAGTGTCGTGTCCACTAGCTCCGAGTAGAGGGGGCGTCCTTGCAGTTAAGGGGAAACCTGGTACGCGGGGCTAACCCTCGGAGAGTATTCTTTAGCTCCGAGTAGAGGGGGCGTTCCGCAGCTAGGGGAAACCCAAAGCGCAGAACCAACCCTCGGAGACCCGTGTTATGGCCCTGCGAACGCGCACCCCCGGGGCTAGGGCTTTCTTGCCCGCAACCCGATGCCGAGCGTCCGGCCAACTGGGTGCGCTTCTTAGCTCCCCGGTCCTGGGCGTGAGGTTGATGACCGCACTCCAAGTGCTCCAAGTGCTCCATTGCTAGTGGCGTTCAGAGAAATCTGCGCGAGGGGAGCTCGATAAACTCGAGGGGCCAAATTATGCCGCGAGGAGGGCGGAGTTACGCAGAGCGGCGAGAGAAGCAGCGAGAGCAAGGCAGACGGCAGCGGCGTCTCAGAACGAGGCCGAGGAGAGCGATGAGTCAGAGGATGAAACAGCAGGGGAGAGAACGAGGACGAGAGTGAGAAGAACGAGAGGTGGCATGAAGGTCGCTGCGAGAATTGGTGAGAAACTGCGAAGAGAGATAGGAAGTGGTAGACGCCCGAGGGTGGGCTGAGGGAGGGTGCAGAGGATGTAGAATGTAGAGCGCTGTAGAGCTGTAGAGCTGTAGAGCTGTAGAGCGCTGTAGAGCTCTACATCCGGCGCGGGATGGACTGCCTGCGTTGTAGAGCGATGTAGAGCGCAAAT